ATCGGCTCAATTTCTAAACTAGATCAGTTTTTGGCTGACGAGTTATATCGATTTTTAAACAACACATATAATATTCATAAAACAATAATCAATAGATCCAAACATTTTCCAGGTGAACTCTTGCACCTGAAAAAACCAAATTTAGAGGTATCTGCTGAAATATTAGATCTATTAATTGAATACTATAAGGCATCTTATGAAACTATGGACTTTTGGAAACTATTTACGAAAGATAAAGAAAATTCGATAATTATTCAAAATAGAGCAGATTAATATGATAGATGCTGAATTGAGAGTGAAATATTCGATTCTGTTATGTCCTTACGAAATATTAAGGCTTATTTATATTAGCTAGATTCGTAAATCATGATGGAAGTATCAATTTATATCCAGGACAAGTTCAATTCTTCTTTATACATTTGGTAAACTTTTCAAATAATGTTATTGAACATTATTTGGCCTTTATTTGGTGGTACAAACTGGTTAATTCGGCAGAAGATAAATTTTATTTCGAATCCGAAAATGATGTAAATGTTGAATTGTGGAGTATCGAATTTTATCCAGTTAGACATGAATACATAATTCCTATTTATAATATTTTTGACCGATTTATTCCATTTAGATACAGAATCTCAAATCGGCAAGACTCTCGTGAATATTTAGCTGTAATTCCTCTAAATCATAAATATAATATATAATTAAAAATTCGGTAAATGTACGAATTTTGATAAAAATTAAAATTTTGATGAATGTTTAACGATTTTTTGAGAAAAAATTTAACAAATATATAGTAAAAATTGTGCAAATATGGAAAATAATGCTGAATTATATAGTAGAAATTGATTGATAATTTATTTAGGCTGAATTATATGCTGAATTATATGGTAGAAATAGATTAACGATTTATTTATGTCATTAATATGCTGAATTATTTGTTTTTTTGATGAATGTTACATGAGTGGCATTATACCAAATAAATATTTTTCGATTAGTGAAATAGATATAGAGCTTATATCTTATTGATAGAAAGCTAGTCCCTATTATATAATCTTTTATTTTTTCAATGGATTCTAATTTTTTCTTGATGTTTTTGTTAATGAGAAGTTCCATTCCAGATTCTTTGAATTTCTTATTATTGCTACTGTGAAAAAACTTATATTTTTGTTGTGAGATGAAAATAAATTCTATTGCTTCATTTGTTAGCTTGGTTTTATAGATGTCTAGGATATTTATATTGAGTTCTTGTATAAGTTTATATAGTTTTTATTGATTCAAGCTAGTATTAATTACTCTAACATTATGTATTTCAATTAAGATAGTATTAATTAATATAGAGATATCTATAGTATACTTGTTATATAGTATATACTCTTGTTCAATTCTATTAATAGTATTTTTTTTTATTGTACTAATGAAGTTATCAAGTAATGTGTTATACTGTATATTATATATGAAAGAGTTATATTTATATTTATTGTTTTTTTGGGGGATTATACTTTTTTTTCAGAATGAGTTTGTTTTCTTTTATTGATCAGACTCTTTCCTGATATACTTTGATTAAATTGATACTAATATAAAGAACAATTGTTTTATTGTCCCCTTCTTATCTTATTCTAGTTACCTGTTTTTTTCTTGATTAGATTTATTCTATTATTAATCATTTGAAATTATTCAGGATCTGATAAAGAGGATCTTGACTACTTTCACTTTCAAAATAGTGACTTTCAGATCTATTGTATAAAATTTTTCTTCTATTGCAATAATTGATTGCTTCCTGTTACTATCAGTTGCAAAGTATCTGAAAGTATCTGTTGTTTTTATAATATATTTATTGTCTTAAAGGTTGCACCTTTTTTTCTTCTTCTTTCTAGATTATCTTTCCATAAAATCACTTTTTATTTCTGAGTCTTTCTCAGATATTATATATTAGCTTGTCCTAATATTGCTTCTAATATAAATTTGATCTAATTATCTTGAGTACAGTTTGACCTATACTGTTTTAAAATGAGCTTTTTCTTTATTATTACTGTTATGGGTTTGAGTCACTTCATTGCCTTACATTGATTTTTTCTCAAAATGTTTTCTAGCACTTTAGCCAAGTTTATGATCATGTATAAGTATATATTATTTTAAAGCCTTATGCAAATCTTCTGCTATTGCAAAACAAACTGCTGCATATTCTTTTCTTTTTAGTGTAAATAGATTTCTTGATATGCAATATGCTTTGTTCCTTATATATTGTATCGCTCTTGCTATAAGACTCATAAAGATGTTGTATATATTATATAATTATAAAGACTAATTTTTATAATTTTTGAGAATAACATTAACTTCATAATTGTTTAATTCATATTGGATAGAAATTGTCCTAAAGGTATCTGGTTTAATATAAATAAACCATCAATATTCAAGTCTTGTTAGTTCAGAATAAGTCATATCTTAATTTTATGCTAAAAGTAGTCAAGGAACAGGCAATATGCCCTCAATTGATGAAGCCCTCGAAGAGTAACTAGCTTACGGAGTCAAAATGGTAGTAGCAGTGTAAAATTTCAACTCTCATAGATAACTCTAGGAGTGTTTTATTAATGATTATTTCTTGTATTTGCATTTTGCCCTGACTTGAAAGTTTAATAAAACAAGGCTGAGTCGCCGTTTCAAAAAAAAAAAAAAATAAATAAATAATCAAATATTATTATAAAGCTTATATATTGATAACTAATTATAGAACTTTATATTTTATGAAAAAATAAAAACAATGTAATATTAAAAATTTTTTTCTGTCAGATATATAATAAGTTTTTAATAACTCATGAATATTTCGACAGAATAATAATTCAAAACATGATAAAGTATTGAAGATCTCGTATCTACAAAATTACTAAAAGTAACTACTATCATAATTAAACTAATTAAATTATAATTCCGGTTATCAATTTATCGAATCAATATATTCGTGTTCAAAATCACGAATGTTTACGAGTGTCGCAGAAATCCGATTGTTTGCATAAAAAATTTGTTCAGATCCTCACGCCATTCCCCCGAAATTTGAGTTACCACCTAAAAATAGAACAGAATAACACACACGCATATCGTTCGTGCGAGCCAAAGCACTTCATATTACACGTACATACCGTGTTATTTTCTAAAAAAAAAAAAAAAAAAAAGATATGCTCAAGCAAAGATAGAGAAGAGAAGAACTTTAATAAATTTTCGAGGAGAAATTATTCATGAATTGAATTTCTAAACTTGTGATTCTCCAAATCACCTATCCGGGGACCTTTCGGCACTTTCCATTAGATTTTCAATCGATTTAATATACGTGCATAGGCCAAGCAATGTTAATTTCAAATTCTTGCACTAAATGGAAAAGGTTAAAGCATGCATATTCTATTCGTGCTAATTTATGCAATTGGTGGAATTAGGTTTTTTGCAATTAATGTTATGTATTGAAATTCAGGGAAATAAATTTGCATAACCTCTTCGCCTTTAACAACCGATCTCAGAGAGGAGAAAGGATGCGTGAGGCATGCCTGGCGAATCGAAAGTTTTCGTACTAACGTACAAGGACAACCAAGCAAATATACGCTGTAGGAATCATATCGCATGTACGTATCATTCGTATTTCGTATAATCACCAATCGAATAAATGCATTATCTTCATGCAGGTAATAAAATCATGCCATTAGGAGTGGAGGTCCATGTCGTGAAATCAAATAAAGAACCTTTGATAGATGTTATGTTTATAATTCAACATACCCTCTTTATTCACTTCGAAGAGGAACATTGCAACGGCGAAGTGTGCCATACAAGAAGGTTGAGTTTTCATAGTGAAAGTTTTCACATCTGCCTATATCTGCGCAGGCAAGAACCTAATATAATAATAATTCCCTTTAAGCTTTTTTAAGATTGCCGTAAACGTCCCAGAATAAATGTCTCTTGTAAATGCAAAATCCGAAATGCGATATTAAGATAGATTTATTGGTTGTGGATTAATTTCCTTATTCACGGAATTGCTCGTCACATAACGAAACATTGTTATTTTGTGTGCCACGAAATTATTAGACCAAATTGTGCAACTACAAATTGCAACTTTCTCGTGTTCCACTTCAAATAAAAAAATTTTCTATAAAAGATGTATCTCATTTCTTCCTTCCCGATGATTTCAATCAGATTTTGTCGTCGTTCTAATTAACAAAGCCATACGCATCGGCTGTGCCGTAACTATCACCTTACGCACTCATTACCACCTTTACACAGCGCGCTGTCGACTTCACCTTCGCTCGCACTTATCATATCTACCATCACATATACCCACAGAAATTATCGCGCCAGTTCGCTGTAATTTAGAACAACGAATTTCTAATTTTCCATTTCACATCTTCAAAAGACAATTAAAATGTCCTCGACCTACAAATCTGCATTCTTCTTCCTTGCCCTTGTATTGGTGATCACCCTCACTTTTGACTCCATTCTAATTCCAGTCTCGGCCTCTCCTCTTCACAAACGTCAAACCAATACAGAATCTCAAAAAGGTGGATTATGGTATGGCACATTCACCGGGCAAGCTACATACTATTCGATTGGTTTGGGCGCTTGTGGTAAACAAAATACAGATCAACAACTAGTAGCCGCACTTCCACACAGCATGTTTGATCCATCGCCCAATGGAAATCCCAATTTAAACCAAAATTGCGGAAGAACCGCCACTCTCTTTTATGGAGGCAAATCGGTTACTGTCACAATCAAGGACGAATGTATGGGCTGCGAGTTCGGTGACATGGATTTGAGTCGTAAGTGTTTGATGAATTTGATGATTTCATTTTGGAAAAATAGTCGCTGAATTATTCTATTTATAATCTTTAGCGGCCGCATTTTCTCAACTTTGTGATCTAAGCGCGGGAAGAATCAATGTAACCTACATATTACATTAATAATAATAGGGACCGTTCTCTCTCTCTCTCTTTTTTTTTTTTATCTATCAAAGTGAATCGATTAATGCCTTTGGGAAATGGAATATAGAATAAATCTATTGCGTTCTTTTATAATAGATCAATAAATGATTTTTTACGCTGATAAACGATTCTTTTCTGTTTATATGATATTGTATAAAATGAACTGTATGAGTGTAGCATTGTACGATCATCTGAACCCCGTCCAGATTACATTCTTTTTTTAGGATTGCACTGTCTCAGAAGGGCTGATCTGTTTTCATGTCACCAGGGCGGTTTATTATACACTGTATAATTACACTATCCTCTTTATTAAATCAAATCCACTGTTAACTGGCAAGAAAATTTGTAATTATAATTATAAAAAAATTGGTTGCTGTTCCATTCTTGATAAAAAAATAGGTCAATTAAAAATTATTAGACTTAATATAATCAAGTTGATCAAATAACAAAAAATTTCAACTATTTCAAAGTTTAACAATATACTATATATAATGAATCAATATAATTTGTATTTTTTTTTTTTTTTTGAGTACCTGCAGCCAGGCTAGATCATAGTTTATTAATCAATTGAAAACATAAGAATATTTTCACTTAAGCAGCAATGATATATATTACAGTTAAACGTTTCTATCAAATCTAACTTCTTTGTCACTACCTGTGACATCAGATCAGTTCCTATTGACTGAGTTTCATTTAAGTGAAGCATCATATTGGAATATTTTAAGCCAGGAGGATGGAGATTTTGAAGATTTCTAAAACAGGAGATTCATGTGAAACATTTGCAGGAGTTAAACTAGAATTCTTTTTTTATACAATTCTTCTAGTGATACAACTATAGATCTCAACTTCTGATCAATGAAAGATCAAAAGTTTCATATTAATGCATCCTAACTTGATTTGTGTTATTTCAGATGATTGAGTATGACTTTTACAGGATAATTAGTAAACTTGATTAAAAGTTGAATTTTTTATTTGGTATTTAAGTATTATTGAATTATAGATCTTGTAATTATGACCTAGGAGTATTATTACTGTGCTATCGATTCACAAGTCAAATTTATTTTATTTTTTATTTTTTATAATATATTTATATATATTTTTCTTTATTTCAACTTAATTCATTTGTAATTTAATAAAATATATAATGTAAAAACCTGTTAGTAATGATATATAAATTAGAAGAATTTTTATTTTAAATTTATTATAAAGTAAACTATTGTTTTTAAAATTAAATTTAAAAACCATTATTGTTTATAACTAATTGATTTACAAGAATATATTGTAAAAAATATAAAATAAAAAAATAAAAATAATTATTAAAACTTTCATAAATTATTATAAAAAAAAGGGGGGGTTTTAATTTTAGCAATTCATAATTTTTTAGATCAATTAATAATGATAAACTATTGCTAATAATTCTAATAAGTAGAAATAAATCTAATTTAATTAAGCAAATATAATATTGTATTCAAAATTAAATTTAGAGTACTTTTGTATGAATATAAATTAATTATGTTGTAAAAAGTCTATAATTAATTATATTGGATCTTTAATCAATTTTTAAATAAAAATATACTATTATAGTATAATTGTGGATTAAAAAAAATATAATTGATAATAAACAATAAAAAAAATTAATAAAATTAATAAATATATAGTATACCGTAGCTCAAATAATAAAGCAGATCTTCAAGTTAATAAAAATATATCAAGTTTTTATATGAAATTTATAAAGAATAATCTTATTATAAGAATCATTAAATTGAAATATTATATAAAAAAAAAAAATTAAAATTTTTTGTATAATGTATTTTTACTTTAGAAAAATTTTTTGCCACTCTATATTTTTGTATAATGTATTTTTACTATAGAAAAATTTTTTGCCACTCTGTATTTTTGTATAATGTATTTTTACTTTAGAAAAATTTTTTGCCACTCTGTATTTTTGTGTACATAAGATCAAAAAAAAAAAAAAAATTTTTATTCTATACTTAGACCTTAAACTTACTTTGTACAAGCTTCTTTCAGAAAAGTATAATGTATTTTTACTTTAGAAAAATTTTCTGCCACTCTGTATTTTTGTATAATGTATTTTTATTTTAGAAAAAAAAGGCTTTTAATATTATTAAGTATTTCTAAAAAAAATTTGAAATTCAAGATATAAAAAGATTATGAATAAAAACAAGTACAAGGAATCTACAAAAAGGTCAAAATTAAAAAATCCTTAAGATTTTTTTGTCTAAAGAATATTAGCAATATTAGAAGTATACTGAAATCTGAATAAGAAAAATAAAAAAAAAAACTAAATTTTATAATGACTATAATAAATGAAATTAGGTACAAGATGAGGTATTTGGATTTTTACCTTTGTCAGAATTTGTTTGCAATAGTGACTTAAAGACAATGATGTTTTTAGTTGAAATAGTTTTACCTAAACTATTAAAAAAAACAATAAATTACTCCTAAAATTGCACTTAGCGTTGTTTAAACTAAGACAAGTGAATTAGTTAGAGAATTAATTTTAGCAATGCATAAATTTATATACGATCTACAAATGTTTAGTACATTTAACTAACCTGATAAAGAGTTTAATAAATAAATGAAAATAAATATTAGATTGTAATAGTATAAAAATTTTCAATTAAATAATACTATAAAATAATAATAAAAGTTATAAAATAGTCTTAAGTAAAATTAATTTATAAGACCAATTTACGAAATTTCATAAAAGACAAATGATTTTTTATTATATTGTCATTTTAATTTTCTACGGGAATATAACGTTAAAATTTTTTATAATCCAATGGTTTGTTTTTTCTCATTCTTAAATGTCGGATTCAAAATCGAATTGTGCTGTATACTGGCATGCTACTTTTACAAGTAATTTTAAATAATTTCGTTACTTGTGGAAATTTTTGCATTCAAATAAAAATTTTAACGAAATACGAACGAAATATTTTAAACGAAAGAAATTTTTTCATAAAATATATATATATTTATTTATTTCTTGTTAAAAAAAAATCTTTTTTTTTTCTTCTTTTTCGATAATCGTTATTCATCATTATACAGTATATCGATTTGGTAATTTTTATTTGCATGCCGTAAGTATAGCTCTGGAATTTACCTGAATCTCTATCGATTTAATTTAATTTCATTCGATTTGATTCAATATGACTCAATGCGATCCGATTTTTAATTTTACATACCATAAGTTAATTGGCTTATCCCGTTTTTCATTTTTTTTTTTTTTTTTTTTATATACTGTATACGTCAGATAGTTATAAGATTGATCAAGAAATGAATTGGTAAGGTACAAGGCGATTGGAGATTCGTGTAATAATTATTAAAATCTTAATATAGGGTAATAATCGATGCCATGTGAGCGGAATTCAAAGTGCGATAAATATTGAATGCCATTTAAAGAGAGTCTTGTACTGTACGGTTACGTATGTTGAAAGATGTTTTATTTATTACTTGTCGATTAGAAATCATTACGTTGCACCGTGCATATATTTAGCCGTTTGTCACCTTTTTCATATCCAATTCACGATTTACATATTTAATACTAATTTTTTTCATTCAATAAAGTGTTCGCTTCGTGATAAATTAACATTTATAACCAAGCGTCTCACCTCAATCGGATGATATATTCAATTTAATCAATTTAATCAATTTCAATAATTTATGACGCACGTATAAATAATATTTCCGCTTTCGGTTGCACCGCATGCAGGTTAATCTAAATTTATTGCATGCAGATCACGTGCCGCGAAGAGTTTGCCATTGTCAGAGTTGGTATGGATAAATGAAGGAGGCGCGTGTCCGGCTTTTCTCACCGCATGCCACGCACATAATAATAAGTCGACGCCCCTTATCTTATTTAAAGTATTGCATTAAATGCATAGGGTGCTATAACAGAAAAAAAAATAACGCAGTAGGCAATTTTCGATCTTGATATTGCATTAAAACAAGACCATTCGCAATTTCTGACTGGTTCGATTTCAGGTTACTTGAACAAAGTAATTCGATATCTTGTTTTCTTTATTCGCGTCAAACATTGATGGATCCACAAGATTTTATGAGATGGTGAAAAACACTGCACGCATATACGCATCAAAATTTCAATTTTATCATTTTTTATTAATTCCCTCTACGTGTAAACTAAATATACTGTACTTTTTCAAAATAAAATAAAATAAAAATAATTAATAATAATAACAAATCATATTTTTATAACTTCTTAATTCTTAATAATCTAATCTAATTAAATAAGAATAATATGACTACAGCTCCTTATATTATAATATCGGTAGAGTTAAATGTGCTAATAAAAAAGTTGACATAGTGATGTAGGCATAAATTAAATAAATGAATAATTGTCATCCTAAATTTTTCTTATGACATAAAGAGGTCACTGATTTGTCGTGTTAAGAGACATTGACAGGAATGATTCCAATTGGTCATCGAGGGGGGTTGAAAAGAATTCAGTAGAGTTGGTGGGAATGACGGAGGAAGAAGAAGAATAAGGGATTCGCGGGTAGTTGTGCTTCGAAGAAACATTTTTCCAACGGATCATAGGAACTCCATGAAATGAGGAGAAAATCATGGGAGTGCTTGTTGTGGCACTTCTCCTGGGATGGTAAACATAATCGGGGTACAAAAAATTGTGCACCTTCTTAGCACACTCGGAAATAAGACCAAATAATTCTTTGACTTCGTTGGGCTCTTCCTGCCAGCGTTTTCCTGCGATCTTTGAGACCGTGTCTAATTTTCTGTTGGACATCTTGTTCCCTTCGGCAGCTAATTGCACTTGTACGTTTCTTCTGTAAATGACAAAGCTGTTTTGTGGTCGGGGAATTTTCTGAGTTCTCGTGTTCTCAAACGGAGTGACCAATTTCGTCAAAGGAATCATTGTGACCTTCTTGATCTCGCAGAGTGCTTCTTCACTAAAGCAGGATGAGATTATTCTGTTGATCGCAAGTGTTGCGTCGATGTTTGAACTTGCGTTCGAATATAATTCGCGAGGCGAATAATTGGCCAACTGTTGTTCACCTTTCACCTCAAATGTAAAGTATGACATATCGATCGAGAAAAACTATTCGCCGGAATAGAAACAGTTCTATCTAAATTAGTCAGGAGAATGGAGAATGAAGGATAGAAAAAGGATGGTCGAGATTAGAGGGTTTTTTATACCTTTTATATATATATATATATATATACCTTCAAATTAACGAGAAAGTTTTCACAAGAAATAGGAAATTCTATTAGTATTATTATTTCGCCTGACGCGTGAAATAGCAGTGCTCACAAGTACCTTAATGGAGAGGTTGCAATTGTTGGACGTCTCCCTTGTGACGCACTCGTTATTAAGATTTTTCCACCTCCTAAATTCTTTTCTTTGGTATGAATGGTGACTCAAGTGGGTAAGGTCATTGAGTGTGTGGCATTTTTAATTTTTTTATTGAACTTTCCCTTTTCACGAAGACGCGATTCGCCAATTTAATTAGTAGTCAATTTAGGACGGCAGACTAACGCCAAAAGTTACGTGATACGTAACACATGTGGCATATAAAATCATTAACATGAACAAATAGCTTCTTCTTTTCATTTAACCGCTCGTACTTTACAAACCGATTATCATTGTGTACAAATAAGGTTTACCTCTTTCCTATTTTTTTTTCTTTTTTTTCAATAGTTTCCCCTTATTATCACAAGTGTGTACGCAATTTATGTCGTATAAGTATTAGCACCTAAAGTTTATTTGAAGTTTCCACCCGAGTGCCCTTTTTTGTAATGGATGTTTTTTTGACTCAGGCAGGTGTTTACGTGCACATTACCGTGCAGTACGAATTTTTATGACCCAAAGATCCTGATATATAGCATTAAATTTAAAGTCTATTATTATCTGTAAATGAATCGATTGCCTACGCGCATATGTGCATCCACGCGACGTTTCTTTGGCTAATTTGCGTTGTAACATGCGTAATTCGCTTTACCCAGTTCTAAGTACTTTCATCCTTTCTGACGATCCTTCGATTCAATTATCGAGTGCGCACGTACACGTTCCAAGAATGGAGAAATCGTCAAGCTAGAATCAATTAAACCATTTATGGAGATGACTCTATAGTAAAATGAATACGCATAAGAAACACAATCTTTCGTGTGATTACATTCGCGATTCCAAAGTTATGCATAGTAAGTAAGGATAGCAGCTAAATGACGTTATATTTAGTTTGTTTTTTCTTTTTTCATAACAAAAAATGGAAACAAGAAACTTCTTTATTATTATTATTACTTTGCTATTTCTTTTTCTGATGATCGTGCCATCCTGCAATTCAAGGTAAATTTTTCTTATTGTTAAGTCATGTGACCGTATTTTTACATTGCATATACTATTAAAATCGACCCTTAAAAAAGCTTTAATTACTGCATTAATAAACATTTGTGAAAGCTTCGTTGAATCGAATCCTTAAAAAGAAAACAAATGGATTTTTCTTTTTTTAGTTCTAAAAAATAAAGACTGGGCCGTCATTCCCAAGTGTACAAGAATAATAACTGCCTCAATCATCATTCTCCCATCTAGAAAAATCAAACCTTCGGCTAACTCACAGATAATATTTATCGATCGACCAATATAAAGTATGGTGGTGGAAGAACTTCATTGAAGTATTATTGGACATAAATGAGAAAAAAGAAGGGTAAACTTGGAATCTTGATCTCGACGAATCGATTGAGCCAGAATTGATCAACTGCACGGTGCGTGTCTGTATGAAATTCAATCTTGCCGCGCGTGGGCGTTCACCATACGGCGCTGATGTACTGTACGATAATAAGAGCTGTAGAATTACAATCTGGTGAAAGAAATCACAAGGAGATATGGCTCGATTAGTTTAAATTAAAACAAACGCATTGAAATTTATTAATTTACAAAAACACTGGTAACCGAGAAGAACGTTACATTTAATTTATCCTAAACCAGTTACATACTCACCTTGGGTCGAAATCTTTAAATGCAATTGTGAAAATTTATTTTTTACTCAGTCATAAGATATAAAATATACAACCTATTCTATTATGAGTTATTAATAACATTATTTTTATGTTAAAAGAAAACCAACCTGTCATAAATTTCAATTGATTAATTAATACAATATTATTGAAATGGATAATTATTTTTGAAGGGGACAAAAATATTATTTAAAAATTTTCTGGTGACCTTTTTTATTTAAAATGATTTAGGTTATTTTTTTTTATTCTAAATTTAAAATACTTATACTCCATCAATATATAATTAAATTTAATAAAAAAATATTTATTTTAAAGCTTATGTCATAAGTTATTATTTAAAAAAAGATTGTTTAAATCTAATTACTAAATAATGAGAAAATAGTATAAATAAATTAGACACCATTTTTAGAATTTGACTATTTTTGTGAGTTTAATTTTTTTAAAAAATTAAATTACCTATATTTCCATCAATATATAATTATACTTAATATAGAAATATTTTTAAAGCTTATTTTATAAACTATCATTTAAAAAAAATTATTTAAATCTGATTACTGGATAACAAAAAATAGTATAAATATATTAGACTTCATTTTTAGAATTTGACTATTTCCGTGAATTTAATTTTTTTAAAAAAAATTAAAATATATATTTATTTGTTGATATGTAATCATATTTAACCAAAAAATATTTATATAAAGCTTATGTCATGGACTATTATATAAAAAAGTATATTTAAATATAATTACTAGTTAATGAGAAAGTAATATAACCAAAATTATATCTCATTTTCAGATTTTAAAATTTTTTAATTATGCCTTTTTTAAATCTTAGAAAAAAACTTTCTTTTTTATTAAATTCTTATAATCTTTGTCATCTACCTTTTAGTTTTTATTTTTTATCTCAAAAAGTCTTATTATATCTATTATACATGATACTACTTTATAATTATCTGACAATTAACCATATCAATTATATGATTACTTTTCAAATAATTTTTATATTGGAAAACTATTTTTTTCTAATTCTTACAATGCAATAAAATCTACTCAAATTATCAATAATATTAAAACAATACATAGTTCAATTTTTATAAAATATAAATTTAGCATTTTATTATTAATTACAAATTTATATAATAGAACAAAATTAAAAAATCTTGGTTTTAATTTTAGCCATAAAAATTTTTTACTGCTCTTCAAAAAACAAAAAATCAAACTGAGATCATTATTAATTTTCTTTTATAAAATTCAAGATTATCAACTTTTTTTTGTAAATTTATTAAATTTCCTTTCTTTAGAAAATACAAATTTTAATACTTCTTCAATTTATTATTTGAAAAAATCTTCAAAACAATTTTTACTGAATTAAAATCACAAATCTTGATTTAAAATTAAGTTTCAGTTGATTTTATAAACTTTGTTCAAAAATTTTTAAAAAAGTATTAAAAAAAAAACTAATATGTGTCCAATTTGTATTGAAGGAAAAAAATATCAAAAAAATTACAAAATATTGATTCAAATAATACTTCATTAATTAATTATTTAGAAAATAAATTTGATTTTTATAACAAATACTTTTATTTTAAAAATAAATAACAAGCATTATATAAAAATTCACTTGAATTAATAATTACTACATCTTGTGTTGTAGTTATAGATTTTAAAGAAAATTTTAAAATTGAAGATAGTCTAATTGAAACTGAAAGAGATTTTTATAAAAAAACATAAATTTCTCTTTTAAAATTTGTTATTTTTTATAAAAATAACAATAATATGATTCAAAATCAATATTTTGATTTTTTTTCTATAATTTTAAATCATGATTTATTATTTGTAACTGATTGTATTAAAAAACTTTCTATAAACTTTTTCTATTACAATTTAATGAAATATGCTTTTGGTCAGATTGTGAATCACATTTTTGCTTAATAAAATTAAATATATTTTATTTTTAATTATTTACCTTTTATTTATAGTAAAAAAATTTTATTTGATTATTTTATTGAATATTATAGAAAAAATATTGTTGATAGTTATTTCAGTATAGTATCAAAATAGTTTATTGAATAAGAAACAATCCAAAATATTTATATCATTAAATAATTATTTATTTATTTCAAAAATAAGACACAATCTTATAATAATTACTCATTTGAAACTTATTCACATATTAAATCAAAAACTATTATTAATAAATTAATAATAAATAATTTTTATTCATATTTATTATTTGTAAAACTTAATAATAAACTATATATTTTAACTCTTAATATATTTAATATTATATATTATAAGAAATTTTTTTAAATTTAAAAAAATAATAAATACAAAATAAATCAAATATATTATATCTAAGTAAAAAGCAAATAATATTTCAATAATAATGGGTGATAGAAACAAATAAAGATTCCTTGTTTGAGTAAAAAATATCAACAATTATCCAATTCCTATAGAAATATAAGACTATAATTTCCATTATATACTATATACTATATACTTGAAATTAAAATATATTTTATATAATAATTTTTTTAATATTCAATGAAATTTAATAAATAATATATTATTAAAAAATCAAATTTTAAAAAATAATGATAAGAATTTTAATTTTTTAAATTTTATTTTTAATACCAATTTTTTAAAACTAATAATTTATTAATTTCAATTACTAGTTATTGAAAATTATAAATTTTTAATTTCAAGTATATATAATATATAAATTAAAATATAAAATAAAATCTAAAGTATAGATAATAGCTATATATGGTTTTGGATCTAGCTATTTTCCTCTTATGTAAGTTTTATCTTATATTTATTTTATATTTTTATTATTTTATTTAATATAATTTTAATTAAAAAAAAAATAATAAAATAAAGAATATAAAATTTTTAGAATTATAATTTTTAAAGTTATAATTTTAAAGGTTATAATTTCGAGTTATTATTTTTGAGGATATAATTTTGAATCTTAAAAATTTTTGATTCACTTTTAAAATAATTACTCAAATATATATTATTGAAATATACAAATCAGTTTATATTTAAAACTATAAAAAATTCTTTTTGCTGA